TTTTCAATAGTTGCAATGGTCTCGCGCCGCAGTTATTTTCGTGACAATAATATATTTGAAATTAAATAACAAGATCGAAAACTTGGTAGCAAGTTTATAACATTGTGTCTCTTCTGCGCATCATTATCTTTGACCGAATTTTTTTGTGTGATTGACAAAATCTTCCACAAGAAGGTCTTCCCGTAAAATAATTTTATTTTTTGCTTAAACCACTTGAGCATTACCCAAGGAATAGCTCAAATACAAATTTTTTTCAAAACAATTCCCCATTGCCGAACTTTTCTTCTGAGATTAATATTTCATTATATATAACAGCGAGGAGTGTGTTTATTTCATAGTTATTTTTATAAATAGTGGTATTGTGAGTGTAAAACATGCAATAGCGGAACGCCTTTATTATTTGTTATTTCTAGCTGCCGACGTTAGTATTTTTCTCAACGTATGCCGGATATGTTTTCCTGGGTACATATTTATCTATTCCTTCTTCTATAATTTGTTTTAATTTATCTCTAATATCGTTTATTTTATTATGTACCCGTACTAGCCCATTATTAATAGTTATTTATTAAGTCACTTTTAAACTCAATTACGTCAAAGTGTTTGAATTGCTATATTTTCCTATTATTACTAGTTTTGAAGTTTCCACTCCTTTCCCCATCTCCTTTCCTCGTCTCATTAGGAAGCTTAGACGGTCAGTAATCTCCGAGAGACCCTCGCAGATAACGAACAAATGGTCTGGCCGTCCGAAACAAATGCTCCGCCCGACGTCTAGCAAAGAGCGACCTTCCCTAGTTGATGACGACACGACTGGTTTAAATGTTTTCCCCATACCATATTATCTACAGCCTCTGAAATGCTTTGTCCACTATCCTGTCACCCTCCCAGATAATACAGCGTTAATTTAAAAATAATTTTTGTCTACAAATTGGGGTAAGAAAATCATGTACATTTTGTCGTAGATAAGTAGAGGCCTGGAGATCCTCTATGGGTATACTAAAAACGAACACTGTAAAAGCGAGAGAATTAGTCTACGTATCCTTTAGTTGTTAATGAAATACAGAATTTTGTTGGAAACCTTGTAGAAATTTCCAGAAAAACTTACTAGAATAGAGATAAAAGCATGTAACGCACTTTCCGAGGAAACAAGAAGAAAATAGATTATCAGTTATCAGGAGGGTTAAAGCAAGACTCTGTGCCTTGTATACAGCCTATGCGAGGAAACATATCTGTAGCCAAATCGCTAGACACACGTACTTTAGAAGGATTATTACATCCTTAAAGTTCAGGTGTCAGGGTGAATATATGTTGGAAAATGTTCTTTTACTAACATAACTGTAACGGACTGGAAGAATTTGTCTCCGATAGATTCTGAACAAGATCATCTGGGTGTTCAAAAGTGCAAAAATAAATTATTTAATATTAGAACGTTTTATTTATTCATAATTAAAGCATATATTAGCATAATTATTACTATTTGTTTGGTTCTTATTACATGCATATTATCATAATTATTAATTTTGTGTTTTATTGAAGAGTTGTGTCGTATTGTGAAGTAGATTGGAATGTAGTATAATGAGAAGTGATGTGCCAAGAAGTGTTAAAGTGTGTGTATTGTGAGTAGAATGTCTGTAGAAGTGAAGTTTAGAATAATTAAAAAATCACATTATAATGCACTAAAATATTTATATACGGCATATTAAATTTGAAGTTATTGTTGTTTTTAATCTATTGTTATTATTCTCGAGTAGTTATATTTTGTGTTATCTATTGTGTGGTGTTCTTTTGAGTAGTTAAAAAATGTCACGAAATAACCTTAAAAGTCAGAATATGTTCGACCGGGTTCCGCATTAGCTCGATTTCTCGTTGTGAGTTAAGTAGAATGTTTTATGATGTTGAGGTTCTTCCGTGTAATTGTAATTACTTTTTATTACTTTTGAACATTTTTTTTACTTTACCGTACACGTACGTATGTATGATGTAATATACGTAGTATAGGGAAAGTTATATAATGCTGCGGAAAATCGATTTCGAGATTTCAAGGGAAATGCACGTTTAGAGGTTCCCTGATACCGAAAAAGTGTTTCTTTCAACACGACTGTCAGTCTGCTGGATTTGGGCAACACTGGCGCCTAAACTATGCGAAGAATTTTTTCTAATTTGAAGAATTCCCTGTTCATTTGGCCTGAGTCAAAGCTCAGAAATTTTGAAAATCATTCATTAGTTTTTAGGGGTATTTTTCATGAAGGGTCTGAGACATTTTCAAAATTTTCTCAAAATAGACTCAATTTTTTCTTTAAATTTCTTATAAGAGTAGGGTAAAATGCACTTATAAATGTGGCATAAGTCCTATTTTCATGGTTAACTCTGAATTTCCGAAAGTTTCAAAAGTTTGATTTTTTTCTGGGTCTTCCTACAACAACAGAATTAAAGATAGAGATTTGTCTTTAAATGAAATTTGTTGTCCATAATTTATTCTTTCATTAAGGTCATGCACATTTTTCTAAAGATTTTTGTATTTATTGCGCAATATTGCGTAAAATTTTTACAATTTAAAAAAAATACAAAAATTAAATTTTCTCAAAAATCGTTCTAATTTTGTTCTTTAAAAGTTCGGTAGCAAATAGTGCTAATGTACTCTATAGGACGACATAAACATCAGTTTGCTCTTCGTTTGTTTTTTCAAAAATTACAAAAATTATTTTTTTACTTTTCTCTCATATTGTTAATGTTTATATTAGCAGCATTTTTCTCATATTATATATATATATATATATATATATATATATATATATATGTACATGTGCCTTAAATAATGTCATTTAAAGCTTCTTGAAAACTAACGTTTTCTCTCAAAACTAGCTCAAAATTTCGATATTTCAGAAATGCTCGAACGTCAGTTTTTCAAACACGGCTCCAATTGTTTTCTTCAAATATTTCGAACGGATAGTGCTAATTGCTCTCTTTAATATGACGTAAAGTTCATCTTTTTTGTTTGTTTTTTTAATTACACAAATGTATTTTTTTAATACCTCTCACGCCCTAATATGCACATTTCCAGCAATTTGTAAACACTATTGTATTTGTGAGTTAATGTGCTTCAAATGACTTGCAATGAAGTTTTTCGAAAAATCTAAACTTTTCTGTGAAGAAGTTCTTCAAACTTCGAATATACTGTAGCGCTTAAGTGCCATTTTCTTAAAAACTACTCCAATTTTTTCAAAGAAAATTGCCATTTAGGACGGCGTTATACTGTTAATATTTTTAAAATAATATTTCCGTTTTATTATTAAACCGAAAAATTAAGAAAATTTCAAAAAAATGTATTTTCGGTGGCGATACATGGCAGCAGGTAAGAGTAAGAGGCAAGATCGAATAGCTAGCCAAGACCAAAGGAAATAGAAAGCTAGTACGGGAAAGTCTGTGCCATTCTGTAGCACTACTAGTTTAATATTTTATTAGTGTTATGATTGTCGAATAGTTTTAACATTTTGAAATGCCTTCATAATTAATGCTATTCTAGCATTTACTCTCATTCAGCAACCTGCGCATTTCCACATAATACAAGTCTCTTGCCCTCCTTGTCCGGGGCAACCATTCACTTGCATTTTCTCACTTTTTGTGGGAGAAAGATGAGAGCCTCTCCACCCTCGGATCAGCTGATGTCACTGCAGTGCCTCTGATAGGCTCGAGTCCCCCCACGGTGATAGGAGTCGAGTTCTGTAGCTATATGGAGGAGAATTCTAGGAGCTGGCTGCTTGCGGTAGTTTTCCGAGATTACTCCGATCAATACCTCACGAATTCCGGAGCAGTACTCTAAACAAGCTAAGAAGTGCGCACGATGTTTCCCTCCCATTCCTTGTCCTATCCTACCTCTTACTAACACACTTGCATGCTATACACCACCATACATGCTGGGAGACCAGTCGGGACCTTCGAGATGGGGGCGGTGACCCGCCGGTGGGAAATACCTGGTTGGGGAAAACTCCGCTGTCCGACGATAGGTCGGCGCCGGATCTCACCATCCACCGGGGGAAGATAATCACCACCTCAAGCAATAACATGCACTGCACTTACGGAACTATTGACGTAACTTGGCGCTCAGGAATCACTAATTAATCACACACCTTCCCTGGTTGCCGGAGGACGACTCGTTGGTTCGTCTCCGACATTAGACAAGTGTGCCGAAGTTCCCTTACGCTCATCTCTGCTGTAGTTAGCCGGTATGGGGGAGAGTATCATGGTCTGAATATTAGCTAAGAAGTGGTTTGGTGAGTTGTACAGGATGATTGGGTCTATCCCATCACGCCATAATATATTCATTTCTTAATGGAGATTCTAAACCACAGCTTTGGTGTAACAGAAAGGCGCATTTGCCCTAATTTCCAGCGCCACCAGGCCGACAAGGTATGTAGGAGGGCAAAAGTTGAAAGGAGATTAATGGTAGTTTAGAGACACAGCCATTCTCCATGCTACACCACACGAGCAAACACACAGCCCGACCTGGGATTTGGACCAGATTTTCCTTCGATCACGGTATGCCAAGGTGACACCGCCGACTCCTGGGTGACGATCTAGGCCACCCAGATTGACAGATGCCTAACTAATTTACCAGATAATAATATTTGAAATTGACTCTATAAACTGTTCATCTTGTGTTACATTAAACTTTCAGTCCCCTGCAATTGAAACAATATTTGACATCTTCGAGGCGTTTCGGGCAGATATCACTGACGAGTGGAAGCGAGAGACCATAACGGGTGATCTGGGCTGTCCGGGTGACGCCGCGTCGAAGGCTGAGTTGCCGACGTTTCGACCATCCTGTCGTGGTCTTCCTTAGGGCTGGTATGTAACTCAGCCTTCAACGCGGCGTCACCCGGACAGCCCAGATCACCCACATCACTCCGGCCGCGGAAGCCTACGACTTCGAGAGACCATAACGTACGCGTGTCCATAAGGGTGCCCCCGGGCCTCACCTTGAAGTTGCCGATGCGGTCGGCGACCATGCCGGCGAGGGGCGGCATCACGATGGCCATGACGGGCGTCACCGCCGACATGATGGCCGTCTCCTTCACATTGATGCCCAGTTCGCGCATGTGGATCGTCAGGTACGGGTACAGCACGAACACGGCTGCAACACAATAACACACACACTCCCTTAGAGGCGTCACAGTTGTCATCGAAGCTTACCTACTAAAAATGACTTAAGAGAACGTCATATACCGGAAGCGTATCAGGAAATATCAAATAAAATTAATAACGGTAATATAGCACCGTTAAAGCAATTGATTGTATCATTGAAAATTAATGAACTTTATTTGTAAGAAGTTTGAATAGCATTTTTGTTATGGCAACTGTTTAACCAAGCGGCTACGATGTATAATGTGAAGTTGGATATTATTTTTCTCACATATTTTGTTAATTAAATGTAAAAAAATCTTTGCACTAGAAGCAATCTAAGCTAATTTAACTGAAAATTGGGAAGTCAGTTTCAGGACTTTAAATGTTGTAATTTCATGGTGAACGTCAATGTTCAGAATTTTCGTAGCGTCTCCGGTCTTCGCCAAGATTAATTTTGTTCGAACAATTTGACGGAAAAAAGTATGATTGGAACACTCATTAATTTACCACAAAGTCAAAAACACAGTTATGTACGTAACGGTATAGTCGAATAAGAGGCTCCAAACTATTTCAGCAAAACGTTAATTTAAAGCCAAAAATGGCATTTCGATTGACAAACAAGAATAGTACGGCATGTTTGAGATTTAACTACTTTCATTTAGTCCTTTATGTATTAATTAATTTTCTCATTCCAGATCTTCATTATTCCCCAAAAAATGTCTTTTATTTATTATACCGTATTTAAATGATTATGGGGAAGAAAGTGGCAAAAATCTGCGTGGCCATCCTCATATAGAAAAAAGTGTGTTAGTCCATTTTAGATCATTGGGTTTCCAACCATTTCGAAGGAACCAGAAGGGCTCGACAGATCTCTTCCGCAAGAGTTGAGCAAGAACTTTTAAGAGTTAATCAACTGATTACGGAAGAAAGATTCCGTCACTGTAATACGAGATGAAAACTACGAGATCACGTGCTGTGCGTAAAATATATAGCGTATATTGCAAAATAATACTTCACACTCTGCGCCAATGTCGCTTCGTGAATTATCAGATCGAGAGAAAAGCGCGAACATTTTCAAAGAAAACTCAAAAAGCACATTAGTTCTTGACAATGTAATAAACTAAATTTTGAATTAATCACCAACATCTTCATTTCACTCAATTCTCTAGGTATTCGTGAAAACACACCACCAACCTAATAGTCAGTTGCATCTGCTAGTAGTAAAATCCCATCGCGAATTATTGTACTCGTCACCTTCACTTCCGTCGACGTCATCGTCATCTTCGTCTTTGTTATTCACTGCAATCTATGACAGTGCTGCATCATTATATGCAATTTCGATGCAAAGCACGGCAGCATCCAAGGATGTTAACGTTAAATGCAAAACATTCCAATATATTGATCACCATTACCTGTTCCTTCTTTTCGTCGTTACAGTCGTCGTAACAGTGGCCCTTCAGCAGTTGTGTGCGCGCTGGGAGAAGGAAGCGCTTAACGGCTCGAGCGGCGCGAATTTGGGCGCGTGATTCCGGGCGCCTGCACGCACGCGCGTGCGGGACGCCTGAGGGCACTTGCGCGCCGCGCTCCGATTGAGAAGGAAGCGCATCCAGAGCGGAACCCCCTCCCCCTCCCCCCCCAAACGAACGCCTTGCTCGCCCTCGCACGCCCTGTATGCCCAGCTCGCCTTCGCCTACTCCTGCACTGCCCCTCACTGAACGCCCACCGAACTGCACTGCCCTAGCCCGTCACCAAACGCCCCATCTCGCCCCAGTCGCTTCTGCCCGCTCCCGGACACCCCTTATGCCCTTGCACGCCCCCGCCACAGAAAAATGATGTATCGTTATTGGATTTACTAAGGTACAGATTGGAATGGAACAATTCAATAACATTACAAAAAAGTAAGGTCCAATGATTTGTTTATTAACAATCATCACATTTTTTCTAATTCGCTACAAATCGTAACGTGTAAAATTTCGGATATGTACCTTCTTAATTTTCAGATATTAATACGTTCTTATTTACATCTAACAAGCAGACATGCCACCAGTCATATTGAATTTTAGACAAGCGTTTACTTGTGTGAGTAGGCGGTAGTCTACACAGGCGGTAGTCTTCGCTTCCCGTGCCAACCTCAGTGGCACTGTTACTTACTCCGATCTCGGCTGTTTGATGTGAGACAAGATGATGTACACTATCGCCTACTCACAAGTAAACGCTTGTCTAAAGTTCAGTATGACTGGTGGCATGTTTGCTTATTTGATGTAAATAGGAATGTATTAATGTCTGAAGATGGAGAAAGTACATCTCCGAAAAGTTACGATATGTAGCTAATTAGAAAGAATAAGGTGATTGTCAATAAAAAAACATTGTACTTTACTTTTTTTGAAATATTGATGTACCCTTAGTCTATGCCCCCCTTATACCTCCATAGTCTATGCCCCCACTCTCCCCCCCTTTCCGGCACCCTCCCGTGTATGCCTTTGCTGTCCGTCTCACGACCCCGCACGCTCTTGCACGCCCCGCCCGCTTCTGTACGTATACAGCCCCATGTGCGAACATCTTCGCGATCCCCTATAATAGTTGCACTCACGCTCCTTCAAGGCTCCATCCCATCTCCATCTCCCGCACGTCCCCGCAGGCACGGAGGGAGAAGATGAGTCGCGCCCCTGCTTCAGTTGCGCCCCCGCACGCCTCAACTCACCACCCTCCCCAAACACGCACACGCACGACCGAGCGCCTCCTGTTGCATCACTCCCCCACCCCGGCATCAACCGCCTCCCTCTCCAAGGGTTTTTACATCTCAAAATGTCTCAACGCTTCTGCATCGGGACTGCCCGGCTACCAGAGCGTTCATAGGTACAATCTTGAGGGTAGAGGTTGGAAAGATGTGCGCCTATTTTTGAAATTCATTCATTTTTACGCAGAAGATAAAAAGTTGAATAGCGAAAGCAATACTTGTATGACAACTGAAATATTTGCTCACTGTTAATGATAACTACAAAACGTTTAAATTGAAAAGATTTTTGCATTTGAACTATTGGGGTATAGATTGGCTCATTACGTAATTAGGTTCCTTCTATCGTGTAGGTCCGTATGTAATTTAACAATACCTATTCTTTATTTTAAAATAACATTACAATGACATTAAAATGACCTGTTTAAAACATTATTTTAAACTTGTACTGAACATATCGTTTCAAAGATGACAGTTTCTTATATTTTCTAATGGAGCATTCTGAGAAGAATTTTATAAACATGAACTCCGTATTCTGATGATCAAATGGCGTTATCAACTTCTTAAAATCTGGCAAGAGGCTTCTTGTTGAAGTTCGCACAAGTGCAGTAAAATGCACAACAATTAGAACTTCACGATGCTTAGAATAATAAACGTATTTTTTTAATACAATGCCTCACGCGAAAAGACTGCCATATGAATGAAAATAACTCCCTTTTTAGATAATTACATAATTTTCAGTTTAGATTCCGAGTTTTCTGAGAGCCACAAACGAATACTAGAAGAGCCCCCGCGTTGCGAGTCGTCCGTTACATCACAAACCTGTTTTATTCTTTTCTTCATAAACACTTAAAGTTTTTGAGATTGTGATCTTGAAACTTGTTTGCGTATTAAATTTCTTTTGATATATTACTAGTCTTTAAATCAACATAACCATCTTTTGGAATTTTTGCTTAGCTAACATTTTAAAACGAAATTGTTTTTATCCGATAAAGTAATACGCCCTTCATTCCAAATCTCCTTTGAGCCTTTTCCACTGTTAATTTTTGGACTCGAAGGGGAGTAAGAGTATTTCAGTGAAATTCTCGCTTGCCAGAACTTGGTGTAGTTAGGTGTAGAATATCTCATCTGTATTCTTTGTCCAGGGGAGGGAATAGGTTTTAAACGCTCTATTTCCTCTATTTCATTATTCTTCCATCAACGAATATATTCCTTGCAAATTCTTAAATCTCAATTTAAATGTGTTAATTTTACAAATATCTTAGTGTAGTTAAATGAATGTTTTATTTTAAAACTTTTGGTGGTAAAAACAAAGCGGCTCTATTTATAGATGAAGAAAGTGACCGTAGGCACTAACATTTATTTTTAATTTCTCTTGTCTTTTCGTACATTAACGTCCACAGCAAGCTAACTCTTATGCAAGATGTATAGTATGTACCCGATCTATACGTAATTGTATTTGCAGATGAGTTGCTGAAATTTGCAAGTTCCCAGAATGAATTTAAAACTAGTGGGAATTCACGGTATACCGAAACTTTTCCTCCTCCCAGTGCTATTGCACAACAATTCATCATATTAAAAAATAATTAACTGAATAATTTAAAGACCTTCAATTGAATGAAGTTATGGCCAAAGATCCAAGCCACACGAAATAATTTATTTGAAAAATGGCTTGGAAAATTGAGACATACCTTAAAAGTTCGAGCAGTAAGGAGTCACGCTGAAAAATCTGGTATATGTTGGATTTACACCACATTCACATTAGTTTTTGAAATACTCAATGTGGAATCGATATGAATAATAAAAGCAATGTCATTGGCAATTTTCTGTAATACACGAACATAATAACAGTAATATGTAGTTTAGCTTTTCTGCCTCCAAAGATCTGCACAACGCAAACATCGCTTGGTTACATTGCAGACATGAAACGGATGGTGCTCCGCTGTCTAAAGAGCGACATTATTTATTTTTTGGGGGTTAGTTGTTTTATGCATAACTCCTTTCCATTGGCGAATAAATGTTATTGAGAAAAAAATCTCTAGATTTAATATTGGACATGTAGATCAAATTTGAATATAACTTTGAATAATCTGAACTCTTGTGTTCACATTGAGTTAACGGAATAGCTGCTGAAAAGTTACATAATTTCTACATAAACATTCTACAGTTCATGAAAAATTGAAAACACCAAAAATATTGTTTCATGTTGTTCAATATTTATTCTCGAAGACTATTAAATTAAGAAGTGCACAAAATTATTTAACAATAAGTCACTA